AGCCACTGTGTGAGCACACATGGGGGGGAACAGCCACTGTGTGAGCACACATGGGGGGGAACAGCCACTGTGTGAGCACACATGGGGGGGAACAGCCACTGTGTCAGCACACATGGGGGGGAACAGCCACTGTGTCAGCACACATGGGGGGGAACAGCCACTGTGTGAGCACACATGGGGGGCACTTTGTGCACAGTCAAAGGACAACTCTAGGGAGTCAGTTCTCAAATTTCCCCCTTCTACGGGTCCTGGAAACAAACACCAGTCACCAGGCTTGCATGGCAAATGCCTTTCCCTGCTGGGTCATCTTGCTGGCTCAGTCACAGCTAGCAGTGCAGCCTAGGCGGGATGCTTCCCCTCCCTCTCAGCAGTCTAAAGGCACAGTCTAAAACTCATCCTGCTTTCACCTTAAAGAACTGAGCCTGCTCATCACCTCCATCCTCTGCTCTTCCTTGACAACTGGTGTTTCAGCCTGAGTGTCAAGAACATCTTCAAATAGAGTTCAGACACTGAGATGAAAACCTACACCTCCTATGGAAGGACACAACCAGTCCAGGGGTCACCCCGATCGCAGTCCAAGTGCTCCCCCAGGAAATGTAAAGCCCACAATTCCGGTCTAAGGGGAAATGAAACCAAGCGACCGAGTCAAGGTCTCCTCAGCAGTGATGACAAGCCGGCAGCTCTTCCTGGCAGTGTGGTGACTGGGTACACGTGAGCACCAAGAGGCAAACACGTAACAACAGCCAGCCAAGGAGCAACCAGTGTCACACACACTGCCACAATCTAGGCATGGAGGAGCCCGAGGAAGAAGGATCGGGGGTTCAAATACAGCCTGGGCTATTGTGTAACAGGACTCTTCCTAAAAAACCAAGATGAGGGTCAGAACCATGGCTTGGCAGGTGAAGACACTTGCTGCTGAGCCCGGCAACCTGGGTCTGACCCCAGCACCCACATGGTGCAGAGAACTGACTCCTGTAAGCTGTCCTAGTGATCATGTGCACAAAAGCTGCCCTACAAAGTAAAGAAATTCAGTAAAAATGTAAAGCCCATCAAATAAAACGTTATTAATGTAAGTCAGCTCTTTTCCTATAAAGCATACTTTTTGAATCGAAAAACACCCCTCACTTTCTCCCATGTGGAGGAAATACTGAGGTCTCCCTAAGCAAGCAGGGTTCCACTATTCCTCGGGCGGTTCTGATCGAGCCACGCCCCCACGCACCTGCAGACCCAGAAGGAGGTGGGGCTCCAGACCGCTGCCATTCTGTTGCTTCGGCAGCCAGCCTCCGGATGTACTGGTCATTCACTGACAACAGGATGTTTTCCGGTTTGATGTCAGTGTGGATGATCCGGCACTTGGTGTGTAAATAATCCAGACCCTGTAGCACCTGAATGGGAACAAAACAAAAGCCTCATAAACAAAAAAACCCAAGTTTTCCAGCAGCTCTTCCAGGGGTCCAGGTTTAACTCCCAGCACTCACATGGCCAACTACAGCCACCTCTAACTCCAGTCTCAGGGAATGCAATGCCCTTTTCTGCCTCTGCCTACACCAGCATACAAGCGATACACAGACTGTAGGCAAAACACCCCTACACCTTAAAACTACTAACTACAAACGGACAATGCCCAGTTTTTATATCTGTTATCAGGAATCCAAATTGGCATGTTTGGACTCATGTGGCAGACACTGTCCAAGTGAGTCATTTCCCCAGCCTTAGTCCTTGTTCCCAAAGTAAGAATTTTGTTAGGAACAGGAAACACCTGACATTTGTATATAAAAAGATACCATAAGCCAGGTATGGTGATGTATGTATGCTTTAATCCCAGCACCCAGGAGACAGATGCAGGCCTCTGTGAGTTCTGGGGCAGCAGGGTCTAACAGTGAGTACACTTCTCAGAGATATCCCAGAGAGAGAAGGAGAAATGTATCCCACACAGCAATGGCCAACATACATACTTGCTGGATAATTTTTTTGACACAAGGCAGCGGAAGGCCCTGATAGTTGGACTTGATGATCCACTTGAGCAGATGATGGCCCAAAACTTCAAACACCATGCAGATATCTAGGAGCTCATTAAGGAAGAAAGAGCAGGCAAGACGTGGCCCCTCCCATAGTGAAAACACCCAGTCCCAGAACTACCTTGCAAACCCGAAGCTGTCAGTAACCACGTGACAACAGGCAACAGGAGACTGAGGAAGGCCGGCCTGGGACTGAGAGTGCGCACATCAGTTAACAGACAGACTCAGGGGTGAGAGCAAAGACAGGTCTGTGCGAAAAAGCCAAAACACCAGGCACAGGGTCAGCCTCGGGGTTCTTCTAGAATGACCTGGGTAACACTCCCACCCTCACAGGCTCCAAGTAAAGAGCACATTCTTCTTTAGCAACAGGGACAACGTACAAAACGTAACTACAAAGTGAGAAATACCAACATGTTTTTCTGTCTGTAGCGGTATGGAACATACCTAATGTTTTTGTGAGACAAGTGCCCCAGCACTGGGCTCCCCGCCCCCCAACATTCTTAAAACCAGGACTCTGACTTCACGTTTACCCCAATACCACTGTACTGCTCGCTCCTCATGTCCGCATGCCGCCCAAGTCCTGCGGCACTGCAGAGGCCTGGCAGCCATGCTCCTGCTGCCCACCTCCAGCTTCTTTATAGACTGGAGGGCCAAGGCACAGGCATCTCAATGCTAAAAGGAAGCCTAGGTTCCCAAGGAGATGGCCAGATAGATCCAGGGCTCCTCACAGGGTGGCTGTGGAACAGGAGCAACAAGAAGCATCTTGCTGTTGCTAAGAGGACCACACTACTATGTGGCCCAGACTGCCTTGAATTGGGGTGTGTGGAAAAGAAGGAATGTTCTAAGTTAACACAATACTTTACAAATGCAGAGCTCAAGGAAGGGCAGAAGAAAACATTTCCTAGAAAAATCCAAAGCCAAGGAATAGATGCATGTGAGCAGTGATAGCAGAAACACAACATTCCTGCGCTGTCCAGGAAGGATTAGGTGGTGTAGCCTCATTGAGGAGGTGAATCACTAGGGAGGCTCTGAGGTTTCAAAAGCCCACCCACACCAGGCCCAGAGTGTGTCTCTCTGATGGCTGCCCAAGTATCAGGATGTGAAGTTCTCGGCCACTTCTCCAGCAGCATGCCTGCCTGTGTGCCACCAGGCTCCCCACCATGGTAATGGACTAAGTCTCTGGAACTGCAAACAAGTCCCCAATCAGTAAATGCTTTCCTTTATAAGGGCTGCCTTGGACATGTGTCTCTTCAGAGCAACCGAACACTAAGACACTGACACCTTGGCAAATGGCGACAGATAGAAGCAGTCACCTGATTCGAGAGATATTGCTAGTAAGGCATGGAATGTTTGCAACACCAAATACACCCCCAACAAGGAGCTGAAATTTCATCACACACAAACACTGGTTGGCACTGGCCAATTAACAGAGGGGTTGTGTCTGGATGACAGTCATGAAGGTGTCTACACGTGAGGAGTGGTGGTTTAGGTCACTGGTCGTGGCTGAGTTCTATGTGAAAGTTATATAATTTACTCAGGAGTCCGGCTTCCACTGGGAGGTGTGGTTTCCTTCTCCTTCAGCTCAGGGTGGGCGGGGGTGGAGTGACGGTGGGGGCCAAGCCTTTGTGTCTGTACCGTTCAACCACACCACGCTGATGGACGGCACTGCAGGAGTCTATGCCACGGGCTCACATCCAAGGACCCGAGGAGGGCGGTGTCAGGCTTTTCGGATGGGATTATGTAAGTAATTCATGAGGTGAGGAGATGCCATGCCCCAGCTTCTCTGTGTCACAGCAGGTGACAGGGTGCTGGCCAGCAGATGGTCAATTGTCGGCACTTTTATTGTTACTGGAATCATTTGCAAAGTGACAAGCAAAGTAAAAGGGAGGGGCCCAAGCGAAAAGGGAAAGCAGGCCCTAGCGGTCCATCCTTCCACAGGCTGGGCTCTGGGGGTCTAAAACCAATTTCAGGCCGGTTAGGACTACATCGCGAGACATAAACCTTGAATATTCCCTTTTGATTTTGTTATAACTGAAGCAGATGTCTAAATGTTAGAAATAAATAGTTTTACAAACTAACGCACCCCCCCCCCTTTTTTTAAAGACGGAGTTGCCCTGAAAGTTACTCTGTAGACCAGGCTGCCTCTGTAGATCCACCTGCCTCTGCCTCCCAAGTGCTGGAATTAAAGGCGTGCCCAATCATGCTTGGCCAAACTACGTTTTCTAATCAGGTTAAACTCTGAAGATTTGAAGCTGTATTTTTACCAATTGTTAGAGGTTTTTTTGGTGGTAAGCATTGGTAATAGCAGGGGGGGAAATCCCTAAAAGGTGGAAAGTTTTAACTGTATCAAGAGAGTTTGAATTGTGCACTAAAAACATTACTTTGGAGCTGGGTGGTGGTAGTACAAACCTTTAATCCCAGGAGGCACTACTCTGTAGACCAGGCTGGCCTCGAACTCACAAAGTGAGTTCTAGAACAGCCAGAGCTGTTACACAGAGAAACCCTGTCTGGACTCCCCCGCCCCCCTGGAAAAAAATCATCTGGGCCTTCCAAATGGCTCACTGGCTCAGGGCTAGAGAGACACCTGCCACCTCGCCTGATGACAGGAGCGCAAGTCCTAGTCCCCTCTGAGAAAGGACTCACTCCTGAGTTATCTTCTGACCTCCACACGATGTCACGACATTGACATGTCTGCACACACAATGAAGAAAGTCTAAAGTTACCCAGCTGAACTCTTTGGGCAGAACAATGGCAGTAACACCACCTACTACTTTTAGATGGACAGGTATACACGAGCGTGCATGCTGCTATGAGACTGCTTAGCATTAAGAAATAGGCCTAGGAAGCTGGAAAGGTGGCTCAATAAGTAAGAGCACTGGCTGTTTTTCCAGGACCCAGACTGATTCCTAGCTCCCACAAGGTAGAGTCCCATGGGATCCAACACCTTCTGGTCTCCATGGGTGCCGCACGATGTAGGCATACAAGCAGGTAAAACACTCTTATGCATTAAAAGAGGGGTGGGACACCACAGGCTTGGAGGGCCCACTGATACAGAGAATTACTCCTTCACTAGTGGGTGCTGAGCAAGCAGTCTCAGGGTTTCATCTCAGGACCTTACTTCTACTGTGAGCACAGCGGACTGCGGATCACTGCACATCAAATGTGGCTACCCATAAAGAAAATTTTAGAGCTTCGTCCAAATCTTAACGTAGACTTGTTGAGTTCCTTCTTATGATAGGATGTGATCACTCCATTTAAAGTCTTTCTTAAGTATTTATCTTACTTTATGTGTGTGTTGTTTTCCCTAAATGTATGTATGTGCTGTGGGATGATCCTTCTGTACACTGTGAATATGTATTGTTCTATTGGTTGATAATAAAGCTGTTTGTTTGACCTATGGCAAGGCAGGATAAGGTTAGGCGGGACAATCAAACTGAGGACTCACTCAGATGAGGAAGGACAGAGTCAAGAGAGATGAGCCTGCAGCCCAAGGAGCAAAATGCTAGAGGACCGTAAAGCCACGGCCACGTGGCAATACATAGATGAATAGAAATGGGTCAATTTAAATGTAAGAGATAGTAATAAGCCTGAGCCACCAGCCAAGCACCCACACGACATCTCCCAGCTGTCTGTAACTCCAGTTCCAGGTTACCTGACGCCCTCTTCTGGTCTCTGCACACTCATACATGCAGGCAACACAACCATACGCATAGTTTAAAAAAATAATAAATAGAAAAGAAAGGGAAAAAAAAGAATTCAGTTCTTAAAGGATACGTGTTCCATTAACACCTGATATCTTAAAGTCATCTAGCAGCTGAACAACCATTTCTCCATTTGGATCGTTTGGGTCTGAATTGCGAACCTGTATTGGGAAGAAGCCATGTCGGCACAAGTGAAGCAATGCAGTGGTCAGTCAACAGGGAGAAGCAGGCTGGCAGAGCCTTACCCACACACTGCTGTTACCCCAGCTCACTACAAAAAGGACAAGAAAGGCTTCTGGTAAGATAAACTTGTGTTTCTGGTATAAACCCAATCAAAGGTATCCTATTTGTTCTAGGCCAGAGGTTCTCAACCTATGGGTCACAGCCCTTGTCAAACCTCTATCTCCAAAAACATTTACATTATGATCCGTAACATAGCAAAGTGACAGCTGTGGGGTGCAAGGGAGACCGTTCTCTGGCTGGGGTAGCACACCATAAGAACTAACTGTACTAAAATAAAGGCTGCAGCGCAGGGGGCGGATCCACTGCTCTTGGCTGTCTCTCGAGACCATCTTACTATGCAGCCTTGGAGGGCTTCAAACTGAGACTGGCAGGTCTCTGCCTCCCAGGTGCTGGGTCTAAAGGCGAGCACCACACCAGGCAGGCTATGTTTTTTAACATAAAGAAGGCATTATAAACTTAGGTGACTTTTCTTTTGACCGGAGTATGGCAGACACTCATGGTAGTGCTATGTGTCACATAAAACACGCTCAATAAAAAGTTCTGCTTACCTGAGACGATGGTGTGTGCCACTTGTAAGATGAACCTACCCACTGAATTTACCAATCCCTACAACACACAGGGAGCCCGAGTCTGCAGAAGCCCTGTCTATGGGATGGATGCTGAGACTGGCCCCGGGCCCCTGGTCCCCCGGCCCCCCCCACTTACCGACTTCAGCAGCCGGATCTCATCCAGGGCTGTCTCTGTGTAATGCTCGGCACTCTTAACCACTTTCATCGCCACGAACTTCTTTCCCCTAAAACCGGACAATTCAGACTAAGTCACCCGACCTTCGCCTGCCAGCTAAGGTCAGCGGTGACTGAACACGAGGACTGTCAGCACCGAAGAGCGGCACACAACGGCCAGACTGAGCGGACAGAAGCCGGGCCGGGTGACCTCAGACACTGGACGTCTTCTGAGCAAATGCCCGCCTTCTGATTACGAGGACAGCTAAGACTCTACACCACACAGTTAAGAAATGCTACGGTAAAATCGTTTTTCCTGGTTGGTCTGATTACCTAGAACTGTAACTCTGTTCCAGTGGGAAGACAATTATGAACCTTTATCATACAGTAGTAAACGTGTTCAGCTTGAACCGGGCAGTGCCCCTGCTTTACTGATTTAGTCAGTCTCTTGTCTCTGGGGTGGAGAGGCGGGTGTGACTGACTCTTCGTACAGGAGAGCAGAGGGCTCCTTCAGCGGGGCAGCACCGGCAAGCTGACCACGCTTCTGTAGGAACTCGTGTCATAATGAAACCTAGTGTGTATAAAAGAACCGACCCAGAGACAGACCTCAATCACCTCTTGGAGGTCAGACAACATGAAGTTTTATCCAACCCCATCCCGAGTCCAGGAAACTTACTGAATATCCCACGACAACCACACTGTTGAAAAGTGTCCCCAGCCCAACTTTCGGATCACATGGTATCTCCCGTTAAATAGATCTCCGATTTTGACAAGATGATAACCTCCTGGAAGAAATGGGGGTGATCAGAGGAACCAGGACGCAGAACTCTCTCACCCTGCACCCCGTCAGCAGTCACGCACACTTACTAAAATCTCGTAAGATCAGTTCAGTATGAGACCCTTCAGTCCAACCCACCAGGGTCTGCTCAGTGTGAGGAAACTGAGCGTGTGGCAGTCTGACCACCAGGGCCTGTGCTCACAGCCCACAATACTAGACTGCTAGCCCTCAAAAACTCAACAGATCTCCTGCAAAACAAACCAATCTTCCATACTGGTCATCTCAAAAATTTTCAAAAGAAATAATCAATACTATTAATTTAACTAAAAAACAGTACACAGTAAGATCTATTCTTGTAAATATAGGCCAACATGGTAAGTTCCAGGCCAGCCACACAATGAGCCTCAGCCCCAGCCCTCCTAACCAAAAATAAACAAGCAAATAAACAAACAAACAAATAATTAAAAGAAAACAAAGAAGGAAGCCAACAGAAAGGCAGAAAGGCTACTTCAGGTGCACAGATGATCAACATTATGTTTTCCCCCGAGACAGGGTTTCTCTGTGTAGCTTTGCGCCTTTCCTGGAACTCACTTGGTAGCCCAGGCTGGCCTCGAACTCACAGAGATCCGCCGGCCTCTGCCTCCCGAGTGCTGGGATTAGAGGCGTGCGCCACCACTGCCCGGCAGATGATCAACATTTATCTTTGCTTGTTGGGAAAAGGTCCAATTCTCCCAGCCAGCAAAGTAGATCTAGATCCTCTACAACGTCGATCTTAAGGACCTGGGAAGTTCACCAGAACAAGAGGGCAGCTGGGTCGGATTGCCCAGTTATACTCTTCTTCACTGCCATAGCATGAGAAAAAGATCACATGGTATTTTTAAAACTCTGTATACCAGCTGAAAGATTAAAGGTGTACACCTACAATCCCAGCACACATGGGCCAGACTGAGTTACAGAGCCAGCTCTAGTATCGGTGTACCACACCTCTGAAAATTTCAAAGGTAAACATGGACTGGCACTTTCAAAGAGGAAAAAAAATTTCTTTTTCTATTTTTGTATTTATTTAATTATTCATTCACTCATTTTTGGGGGCAAGATCTCTCTACATAGCTCTGGCTGCCCCGGGTAGACCAGGCTGGCCTTGAACTCACAGAGATCTGCCTGCCTCTTTCTCAGAGGGCTGGGGTTAGAAGAGTGTGCCACTCCGACCTGGCCTGGAAACAAAGATTTTTTTTTTTTTTTTTTTTTAAACGGGCTGAGTGCAGGAGGTACCTGATTAGTAACTCCAGGTCCTAGTGTGACCTAGCCCTGCCAACAAGTTTAAAAACTTAATATAACCAGGGGCTGGAGAGATGGCTCAGTAGTTGCTGCTCTTCCAGAGGACCCAGGTTCAATTCCTAGCACCTACATGGCAGCTCACACCAGCAATTCCAGGAGATCTGACCCCCTCACACAGACACACATGCAGGCAAACACCAGTGCACATGAAATAAAATAAACCATTTCTCACATCTGGAAAAGACAGACCAAGCAGGCACCAGCAGAGCTTCGTTGGTGGTGACAACCACGCACCAGAACGAGGCACATACCCAACATCTTACACGCACCTTTACAGTAGTCATTGGGGTCTTCCTGCTCATCATCGTCAGACCCCAGAATCTCCTCCTCCTGCTCTGGGATGTCGCTCTCGGAGTGGGGTGCAGAGCCTCGGTGCTGAGTTTCAGGCCTGAGAAATGACATAACATGTTCACTTTGCTGGACAGCAGACAGGACCTTAAGAGATGTCACTACCAACCCCCACCCTGCACCAGCAGAGGCAGCCTCAGAAAACGGAAGCTAGCATGCCCATAGTAACTAAGGAAGAGCTGGCAAATGGATCCAAACATATCACTGAGAAAACCACTAGATCTCTTCACTTTGCAGCTTTATAAAAATACTTACTGTAATACACTCCAGAAACAAATCTGTCTCCTGCTTTTCCTAGTCTAATACACACTTTCCCCATTTCTGTGCAGTCTCCAGGTCATCATCGGCTTCCCTTGGGCAGAAGGCTACTTATTCTGGCATTCTATTTGGCTTGTTTCTGAATTACACTACTGAACAGAAAGATGTTTCATTTTCTGAATATTTTATATTGACCATTCTTTTCTAAAGTTATACTAGAAAGGGGGCAAAACCTTCCCTCTGCAAAAACAACGAGAAACACAGAATTTACTTACTCAACGTAACTCACTCTACATAACTCACTCTACGTAAACTATGCCCAGAGTTAAGTTACACAGCAGACTGTTTTCCAAAAGGTTCAGAATGTGTGGCGTATCTGATGAGCTAGAGAAGAGACCGCATTCTCCTGCATTCAGGTTCTGACACCTCGAGCTGCTTGCCACAGAAGGCTCCAGCCAGTCGGCGAGGCAAACACTGTCTTTTGCTGGGAGTCTCACTGTGCGGCCTAGGCTGGCTTCAAATCCCTGGGATCATGCCATCTTCCTGTCTCAGCCTCCTGAGGGCCTGTAACAACTGTCCTGAGTCACTACACTGACTTAGAATTACTTTTAATAGCTGTAGGGAAAAAAATTAGTTATCCTTTTAAAAATAAGGAGTTTGCTTTTCAATCATCTGTTGATTACACTGGTTTTTTCCCCCTCAAAAGACGCTAACAGAAAAAAAAGTTGAATACAAAACTAGTTACATGGTATTGAAACACCTTGGTGGGTATCACTAGTAATTTAGGTTTTTGATGGTCAGTCCAAATTTGCTCAATTCTTATGTATGTTTCTGTCCTCCAGGGCACATGAACAGATATAAAACTCCTAACTGATTAAACGTCCATTGTTAATGAAAATGTCTTTCAAGTAACGAACTAACTCACTTTTAAAATTTACATTTACTTTGTATAGAAGGGAACAGGCGTGTGTGTGTGTGTGTGTGTGTGTGTGTGTAAGGACAACTTGTAGCGGTAGGTAGACTCCCTTTCCTCACCATGGGGGTTTGGAAGAAGTAAACTGTAAGAGCTCTCAAACTCCAGAATAAAGGTGCTGGGCAGTGGTGGCACACACCTTTAATCCCAGAGGTAGGAGGATCTCTGTGAGTTCGAGGTCAACCTGATCTACAGAGCTTCCAGGCCAGCCAGAGCTACAGAGATACCCTGTCTGGGGTTTCAAGGGAGACAAAACACACACACACACACACATACACACACACACACACACACACACACACACACACAGAGTAAAGTGGACATTACACATTCCCTCTTACAATTCAGATAACAATTCAGAACTACAATTGTGAAATTTTAAAAAATTGGTAAAATATCAGTTCTGAAAAACAGAACTAAAAAGAGTAGAATGTTAAGAGTCCTACAAGCACCATGGAAATGATGATCAAAATTATTTTCAGGAAAAAAAAATGTTTCCTGAAGAAGGCTTTGACTTACAAAATTGAGCAAAGTCCCACTGTCAGTTAAAGGATTCGGGTGCGGGGCTGGAAAATGGCTCTCTGTAGGAGCACTGGCTGCTCTTCCAGAGGACTCAGGTTCAATTCCCAGCATCCCCAGGGCAGCTCACAACTCTAACTCCAGTTCCAAGGGATCAGACACCCTCACACAGACATACATTCAGGCAAAACAGCAATTCACATAGAATAAAAAAAAATCATTAAAAAAAATAATAAAGGATTCAAGACTCAGTGTAAAATCACTCAGCAATGTCAAGTCCAAGTCTTCTCCCCATTCAGGTGGAGACCGAGTCTGACTCTGAACTAGGATTCAGAATGGCTCGTCTCTAAGGAGAAGCTTGAGCTGACTGAGTGTCAGCACGCACACGGGTCTCCCTGTGCTGCTGAGGGCTCGGCCATCTTCCCCTGCAGTCGCTCATCTCACCCCAGCTCTTCAGTCAGTGTTTGAAAACTAGGAGCTAAACTAAGATCTCTCAAGCCCTTGTTTAGCTTCAGGCTTTACTATCAGTCTCGGTATAAAATGTATTGATCCAAAACCCTGTAGTCACCTCTTGAGTCTTTTAAATTTAAAAGAGGGCTAAACCTGGAACTCTTTATATATAATCCTCCTGCCTCAGGATTACAGGAATCCTGGTGCTGAATGTTTTGTGAGCTTATTTACCAAGTACTTGGGCCCTTGGTGAACTGGGGACTAGGGCTTGGGAAGATGGCCCTCATGGGAATTCAGTCCTCTTGGTTGGAATTCTTTCTAGCCGGCGCTCCAGCGTGCGCCAACTACGTTCTCTGGCTCTCCTGCTCCTACTCCTTAGGGCTCTCCTGCTCTATTCCCAGTCTCCTCTCTGTTCTGCTCACTCTCTCCCAGGCCCCTTCACTGTTTTCATGATGCCCCGCCTCCTCCGAGTTCTGAAATCACTCAGGATTTTAATAATGCTCCACGTGACACCAAAGAACACCACACAATTAAGAAAAGCTTTTCTCATAAAAAGACAAAACCAAGCGGCTGGAGAGATGGCTCACTGGTTAAGAGCACTGACTGCTCTTCCAGAGGACCGCAACTGTTTGTTACTCCAGTTCCAGGGGGCCCAACACCCATGGCAAAACACCAATGCATATAAAATAAAAATAAATAATTTTTTTAAAAAAAAGACAAAACCAAAGCAGGAAGAGAAACAGGAAACAGACATATTTAATATTAGACTCTCACAATCAATTAGATCCTCAAAGTAGGAAGATAAAATGACAAGAGAGAGAACTCATGATGTCTGAGGGGCAGGAAGAGACTTCTATATTGGACAGTGTTACAGCTCAGGGGAAGAGCGCCCCCTAGCAGGATGGAAGGGCAGGGATCCGGGCATAACAAATCTTAGATTTTGCTCGATACTAAAGAGAGTTCTTCTAGAACAAAGAAGGAAAGTTGCAAAATTGGACTTTTAAACTCCTATCTATTTACCATGTTAAGGACTTGATAATTATGTTCGAAGCAATGATATCTCATACTTTAAGAACTTTAAGAACTCACACCCGGGCGGTGGTGGCGGCGCATGCCTTTAATCCCAGCACTCGGGAGGCAGAGCCAGGCGGATCTCTGTGAGTTCGAGCCCAGCCTGGGCTACAGAGCAAGATCCAGGACAGGTACCAAAGCTACACAGAGAAACCCTGTCTCAGGGAGGAAAAAAAGGGAGGGGGGAGGAAAAAACAAAACAAAACAAACAAAAAAACCCACTCCACTTTTTTATTACCTCAAAACAACAACTAGAGTGAATGAAACAGTTGACTTTCAGCAGTGGAGGGGACAGGCAGGGTAAAAGACTTGGTAAGGAAGATCCAAGCAACCACTTTACTAATCCAGCATAATTCCCAACTACACAGTCTAAATATTTATCCTAACAGCCACAAATAAATGTAGTTTCCGTCAAAGAAACTTCTCTTTGCAACAGATGGAGACCATCACAGGAAACCATAACTAAGCGCGCTGCAGAGAACTAATGACAGTGTGGTGACCAGCCCAGCTGAAAGATGCACAACCTAATTCCTGCACCTAGGGACCGGGACCACGGCAGGGGGAGGGGGGAGGGGGAGGGGGAGGGGGAGGAGGAGGTGTGAGAGCCAGAGGAACAGGGAGTGTGCTGTGAGACTGCATCTCCTAAAATGCCATTACATCCATGCTGCCTCATCAGCACAGCTGCCTCAACAAGACCCGAACAGGCCAGCCGGCAGCAGACATGCTGACTGACATAGGAGGAGACATTTCACAGGGTCTCAACCCTTGACAGGAACTGTAACCAACTAAGGAAGGCCCAGAGCCCTTCCCCACACAAGAGCCCTCCAACTGTGATCTAAAGCCTAACTGTCAGCCCTGGAACCATGCACATACAAGTAACACTCTGTGTGTGTGTGTGTGTGTGTGTGTGTGTAACAACAATCAAGAGGCCAGTAATTTGGGATAGTAAAGGGGGAGTGTACAGGGCAGGGGCTGGGGGAAGAAAAGGGGAGGGGAAAATGATATTTTAAATTCCAAAAATAAAAATTCTTAAAATTTTAAAGAGACTGAGACATGTACATGGTTTTTTGTTTTTTGTTTGTTTGTTTTTCAAGACAGGGTTTCTCTGTGTAGCTTTGCGTCTTTCCTGAAACTCACTCTGTAGCCCAGGCTGGCCTCGAACTCACAGAGATCCGCCTGCCTCTGCCTCTCGAGTGCTGGGATTAAAGGCGTGCGCTACCTGCTGTGCCGCCGCCGCCACCGCCGCCACCACCATCATGACCACCATGACCACCATGACCACCATGACCACCATGACCACCATGAGGGTTTTTTTGTTTTTTGAAGAAAGGGTTGCTGTGGGATGGTCTGTATGTCAAATTGCTCTGATTGGTCAATAAATAAAACACTGATTGGCCAGTGGCTAGGCAGGAAGTGTAGGCGGGACTAACAGAGAGGAGAAAAGAAAGAACAGGAAGGCAGAAGGAGACACTGCCAGCCACCACCAGGACAAGCAGCATGTGAAGATGCCGGTAGGCCACGTGGCAAGGTATAGATTTATGGAAATGGATTAACTTAAGATATAAGAACAGTTAGCAAGAAGCCTGCCACAGCCATACAGTTTGTAAGCAAAGTAAGTCTCTGTGTTTACTTGGTTGGGTCTGAGCGGCTGTGGGACTGGCGGGTGACAGAGATTTGTCCTGACTCTGGG